CTGACTCCACAAGGAGAGGACCAGAAGCTCTGTGTTCTGAACCCTCAGACCTGCCCCATGTGATTCTTCATTGGCCTGGTCCTGATTTGTATCCTTCGTACTAAAACTGTTTTCCTAAGTTCTGTAAGATGTTCCAGCAAATATCAAACCTGAATTTGTAGTCAGTTGGTCAGAAATGCAGATGCCCTAGGGAGCCCCAAACTTTGCAGCTAGTACCTGAAGGGCTGTCTTATTGGTAACTGTGCCCTTGAACTTACGGAGTCTACACTAACTCTGGGTGGTTAGGGACAGAATTTGACTGCAGTACAAAGGGGAAGTTTTAGAAGTGTCCTAAACCCCTAGAAAGCACAAAAATCATATCCTGGTATAAGAGAGCTACTCCACTATCTCAGGAAACTAGCATCCTATCGTGCTCCCGTAATCCTAGGCTGAGAACCTCAGCCCTTTCTCCGGCCTGAGCCATTTTATACCTGGGCCATAGGGAAGAAAAAAGTGGGCGGGGTTCAGCAAGGGATTACTTCCAAAAATACGAAGTTTACCTTTGGTGCTCTCAACTAATTTTCTCTTTGCCTGCCCTCCTATTCTTCCTCCCCTCAGCACCTTGCTGATCACTTTCCTGCCCCCATGGTCTCCTCTTTGAGCCTCTCCTTCTCTATTTCAAAATTTCTCCAGGTCTTCCACTAACTAAGACAGTCATTTCCTCAGGGTGACTGATCCAATCCAGCGAGTGGATAATAAACTGAACGTACTAATCCCAATAAGATCTAAATGAAGATGTCATTGGTCCTTTCAGAGCTGCTTACATTTCAAAAGAAGACAATTTAAAACTAATTTCTAATTAGTAGAGTTCCTGAGAATGGTGAGAAGATGATCGGTAGCTTTTAACTTCTAAATCCTCTGTCTGAAGCAGCAGCAGTGCTCTTCCACCTGCAACTTCCTTCACCAGTGAGGCTGGGGAGCTGCACAACCTCCTTCCTGGGTGCCTGAGTTCCCTTCCTTCCAGGGAACCTAGAAAAGTTTCCCTCAACCCAGCTCCTGTAGCCCTGTGGCTCCCTCTCCTAGGCCTACAGCTATTTCTTCTCCCTTAGATACTCAGAACTGAACTATAAGGAAGCCATCCCAATTAATTACCTAGGAGTTTGCCATCGGAAGCCAACTGCTTCTTTCCCCCAAGTAGCTAATAATACCCTTGGGTCCTTTGTTAAGAAGCTTTGGAAACTTAAGTATAAACAGATATATAATCCTTTCTTTTCTTTTGTTAACAGCCCCCTTGCCCCACAGTTCCTCCTATAAAAACCTTCCATTTGGTACACCTCAGAGCGCCCTTCTAGCTGCTAGATGGGATGCTGTGTAATTCATGAATCCCTTAGTAGGGACAATTAAGAGCTTCACATTAACTCAGTTGAATTTTTTTTTTTTATATAACAGTAATACATAGGCCTGAATGCACTCAGCCAGCACAGCATCACAAGTCTCCCTGTCTGCACCAACTGACTCTCTTGCTTCTACAACTTATATAAACCGTGACAACATGGGATGCAGAAGACCTTGACGGCATTTGGCGTGGAAATTCTCGGTCAAGCATAGGATGCATTAAAAGTCTGAATAAAAGCTATGGTTGATTTTTTATTAAATGAACCACAAACTAAGTCACTACATTTTTCCAGGAAGACCCTTCTATTTTTAATTTGAAAATAAAGAATGTCACTTTTTAAAAAGTTAAAAACTCATAGCAGTGTAATCTGAAAAAAGTATTATCTGTGGCATACTTGAAATCCAAGGCTACTCCTTTGGCCTTGGTAAATTACGCCTCCCGCGATGCATTGTGCAAAGTCCTCCAAACCCATTTGGAGCCCACATGAGAGTCTCTTGAGGAATCAAGTAAGCATTAGAGCAGTCCCATTTTGTTAACCAATTGTTTGCTTACTCAAAGCAATACTGATGTCACTTTCTCTGAATAGTTGGAGTTTTTTAAGCTTCCTCAACTCTGTGCTTCTTGGCATTTGCCTGAGAGAAGACAGCAGATGCTTACTTATTTTACATAAGAGCGTTAGGAATCCAACTTCTCAACCTTACGCATTTATAGAGTCTTATCAAGTTACCGTGACCTTTCAGTATAAATTCACACAATTCGTGGCTGTTTTCTTTCCACTTATCTTATTGAAAACTGAATGTTTCTCTCATGACAAAGGGCTTTAGCATTTTCCTTGGTAGTTCAGGAAATATTAATTTTCTTTATTAAGCACTGACTATACTTCGGTGGTTAATGCTATTCAAATAAATGGGGTGTACCTTGGTAATTTATTTTTCTTTTTATCATTACTGGTTCTGTTAATACTTGGTAGGAAAAAAAATTCCTTCCTGTAACTTAATATGGATTGCTAGATCTTACCAGAAATCAATCCATATGTTTATTACTTTAGGGAATAGTATAAAGGGGAGACTGACATTAAGCAGAAGAGGTAGGAAAATAAGATTATTTTCCCCTCACTAGACAGGGGTGGGGGCATGTGTGATCTGGATGGGGATGAGAGAGGGGAGAAAGGAGGTGAAGGGGCTACAGACCCAGGTAATCATAAGAAAAAGAAAGCATAAACATCATATCCCCCAAGTTCTATACCCACGCTATCAGCTCGAGGTGAAATATGACCTAGCAATAAGACAAAATTAGCTCACAAACGAGTTTTAATAATTCCCTCAAAAATCTTGAGAAACTAAAATTATAATGCAGTATAAGTATAAGATATCTGCTAACAACTGTCAATAATAATTACACAAAGCTTATGATTAAGGAGACAGGTGTGGTAGAATAAGATAATGTATGCGAAAGCGCTGCTATAAACTTCAAAGGATTATGTAAATATTACCTATAATTGTTTTTATTATTAATCTGTAACCAAGGAGAAGTCAAAAATAAAGTTGTGTGTATGTCTCAATAAGTATTCAGTCAGAACGGTTTAATTACAGTATAACTTTAAAGTGTTATCTTTCCTATTAGAACATTATCCTACATAAAATCATGTGCTTTCTTGTTCATTGTTGTATCTCTAGTTCACTGATGAGCGAATGAGTGAAAGAATGAATGAATGAATGAAAAGAGGTATAAACTGCTGCCTCCCAGGTTGCAAATTACTAAGGAGCTGGACTATAAAAACAATGTTTCCATTAGCATATGTGGCCTCGGAAAACATCAATCCTTATGCTTAAATATCAATGTTTATGTACTAACACAAGTCCGAGGATTCTAGAATTGGGAGAAAACATGCTTGAGAACCATGTGCCCTGTGCTCCCATCCTTAACAGGTCTGTCTCTTGTGCCTAAACTCAGATGGTAGATTTTCTATAAGCCAAGTCAGGAAAGAAAAGATGAAGAATGCCTTTTATAACCCTGCAGTCCTACAGCATCCAGATGCCCAACATTCTCCATCTTCAATGGTATCATCCTTAAATCTCTATAGTTCAAAGTTACCTAGTGAAAAGCACCTAAAATGTATGTAAAGCTACGAAAAACTGTGATCAAGAAAACTACTCCTGAAAGAAAGATTTCCCTCCAAGAACACAAGTCGAAGGCAAGTCTCAATCCGTGTCTCTGCCTAAGCCAGCCTTCAGTCTCCAGGGCAGGTCTACTTGGAAAGGGGTTAGGATGGACTATGGCAGTGTCTATCCTGACTAGTAAGTTATAGCTGCTACTGATGTGGAAGTTTTAGAAAAGTCAAGAACTTTACAGATGCTAGTGGTGCGGCAGGTATTCCAGATCTAAGCCAAGGAAGAGGAACTGTGAAAGACACCAGGCAATACGGTAAGTATTAGAAAAGAACGTGTAGATGCAGGCAAAAACTAGGCCTGGGGCTCTGTCCATATTTTGCTGCTGGCTCTCCTGTAAGTGGGGGAGTAGCGGGGGCAGGTGGGGCACAGTTGTGTGTGAAATGGACCAGGCAGGAGCTGAAAGGGCTGGCATGGCTCTGCCAGGGTTAACCCCACGTCCAAAGGCACTGTGAAGGGCTATGCGTGTTTAACTTGTTTTTAAACTGCCTTACCAAGAATTATATAAAAGACCATCCTTTTCTAGTAGGAGGCAGGGTTGTGAATGAAGAAATGTTAGGAAACATTTTTTTAAGTTTTCTCTTCATTTTTTCCTCCTTTTTATAGCCCAATAAAGAAAACAATGGCAATTACCAGGTTCACACCGATTTAGGCAGTGAGATAAAGAGGTTTAGTGAAGGGAAGTTGTTCTGAACTACATACCCTGTTTCTTCCCAGAAATGGCTCAAAAGATGTTGGGTAACTCTTCAAAGCCCTTTTTCTTTCCTTAAAATCTGGTCAATCTTTTCCATAACAAGGTACAATATTTCCGTATCTCAGAAAATCACTGGTTTTTGGTAATAAGAGCAAGGTAGCTGAGGTATAACAAAAGAGAGTAGTAGACTTAGATTTAAAAAAAAAAAAAAAATAGAGAGCTGAATGCCAGTTGTACCACTCAGTCTTTATGTGATCTTAGGCCAGTCGCTAAGCTCTCTAAGCCGCACCTTCAACTGCGGTGATGTCTTTCCCAAGGGACAAAAATTGGTTTGGGGCTAGGGAGCATGAGGTCTTATTCTTTGTATGTACAAAATACAGATATGCATACCTAAATAATACATTCACAAATGAGAAACACTTTTCTAAGCCTTCATTTCTCAACTATAAATCTGGGTCAGCATTCTCCACCTTAAAGGATTATTATAACTATAAATATATACAGACAAAGAGAGACTGGAAATAAAGCAAGCAGTGAAGACAACCAAAGGCAGAATAGCCATTTAAATATAACTAAAACCACAACGATTCAAGTACAGATAGATTAATATCACCTAATAATCAATTTTATTAATAAGACAATTTGCAACTCGCTAGTCATTTTACCAATGGAGCACTTAACCTCCAGAAAGAAAACGTACGGTCATAGTAAAAGTCAAACAATAAATGCAGGAAGAATCTATAAATGTGGCAAAGATACAAACCTAAAACACCAATTTTAAGGCCTGTCAAGCTTGCTTCAATTTTATCATAAATGTCTTCAGATGCAAAGTCAGCCACAATGATCCTTGTTTCCACTTTGAATTTCTCTCCTGGGGGAAAAACACAAATGGAAAGAGAGGAAGAAAATTAATATATGACAATTAAGCTTTTGATGCCATTATCCTTTCAAATTCTTTTTACCCCCCAATTTGATATGAAATTTAGACCAGGATAACTTTAAGCAATCATGAGACCATCTAAGAGAGGACACAGAGTCAATACGATAGTCCCGCAATAAAAACTCCAGTGTTGTCACTGAGCTGGCTGGGTGTTCCTCAATCAGTTCTCCTTCTAAAAATCAATGACTCCTTTTTAGACCCTTAGGTACAAATACTAAAGCACTGTTCACATCATAATGTTATATACTCCTTAAATAACACCAGTTTTGTGATTTTAATTGCAAACTGATGCTTCATTATCTCAGGAAGAAGTTTTTATGTTATAAAATATTTAAAGTGTGAAAGAGTAAAACAAAAGTTCACCTTATTAAAATGAAAACAAAATTAATATGATTGCATTGAAATTTAGGAGCTTGGTTAATAGTTAATAGTCACTACGGTTGAAAATCCACACAAAACAGTAACAGAGATACAATGTGACACAAGAAAGACTTCAGGGTCCTACTTTACACAGGGCTATGAAGATCCAACAGAGCTCATGGAAATAACACATTGAGAAATGAGACCCTGGAGAAACAAGACTCATCTGAGATAACTATAATGTTTACATCGGCCTTCACCAGTGAGCCCCTTTGAAAGAAGGCACGGACTGTGAGGTCACCCAGACATGGGTACCAACTTCATTTCCACACTTACTTGCTAAATGACTTTGAGCAAGTCACATACCCTCTATGAGTCTGTCACATATCCCATTTGAGCCTGTCCCATCTCCATCCTCTGAGTTTTAGCATCCCCTTGTGAAAATGAAGGTAACACTACCCAACTATGGTGTGAGGCTCACGTGTTATCTACAGGCGTACAGGAGGCCATCCATAAATGTTAGTCTCCCTTCCCTCCTCCCACCCCCACTAACCCCACGCTCACATCGCTTAGTAGTTCAGTGGGCTAAGAATGCTTATCTTTGGAAACTGATGAAAATTCAAAAGAATTCGTTTAGAAATCCAGCTTCCAAACCTAAATGCTTCTCCATCGCACACAGTCAATGTTGGCTCATCACAGAGTGTGCAGCAATAATCCACAAAGGTTTCCACTCTTGATCTAAAAGGATCTATGTCTAAAATGAAAGAGTTGGTTCACAAGAGATGCGGTTCTTATTAGACTCAATGAAAAGTATTGACCCAGGTAGGAATCCATGAGTAAACTACAGAGGGTAATAAGTGATATGGAAAATACCTTGTCTGGTGTTACAGGTATGTTTACTATTCCCATATAAGTGACTTACTATATGTGCTCATGTAATGCAGAGCCAGTTAGACACAGAGCTGTGTCATTTCACAGCAGCTGGTCCAACACGTCTCACTAGAAATGGTTCACAGAATTGACCACAAGTAAGGAAAGAACTCTGCCTTTATTAGAGCCACAAATTCATAAGAGAAAAAAAATCAAAAGGCCGAAGAATATCTTTTATTAAATGTAAAATTTTATTCAAGAATACAACAAATTTATCTCTTTATTTTGAAAAAACAACAACAAAGTATGTTGCCATACTAGCACCATACACTGGCATTTAGGAAAATTTCTCTCTAGTAATAAAAGCCACGTCACCATCCCTGAATCAAATATACTCTTTTAAATCTCACAGGATTTGGTGAATGTACTTATATTGCAGTCTGATACAGATATGCTGCTAAAAAAATTCAGAGTCCCCTTTAGAAAGAACGCTATTTAATAAGAACCCTCCAGTAAGCTCTTGCTTTGTGTTCACATTAGAATAAGCAAAATGGTGTCTGATGCAAGTTTTACAAGATAAAGTTTTGAACTTACACATGGATTATTATGAGTCACAGTCTAGCTCAGTTAACACTGCTGTTTTTCGCCTAACTTACCCTCACTGCCTCTACTGTGGGCTTTCTCTTTCCTAACGTGGGTCAGACCACACCCCTCCCCTCCTCACGAACCTTCCAGAGTCCCAGGTAGCTCACAGTCAGAGCCCAGGTCTTTGGCAGCCACCTAATGCTTCCCTGAATGCATCTCCACCTACTTCTCCCCAGCTGCCCCCCAGCTCCAGGCAAGGCCCCTAGCAGTTCTTTAAACACAGTGTTCTCCAAATACACGCAAGGCTTTTGCTCTTACTGTTCCCTCTGCCGGGAATGCTCTTCCACATCCCTGGTCTCTGTTGGGTCCTTAAGCAAATGTTACCTTCTCAGAGAAGCCTTCCTTGACCACCCTTTAGAAAATGCAACCACCCCTCCCCTAGCAATCTTTGTCCCCCTTCCCTTTGTTTTATCCTGTCACGCCGACACCCCTCTAATACACTATGTATTTTCACAATGCATGTGTTTGTTGCCCGTTACCACTAGAAATAAGCTTTGTGAAGACAAGGACCTAGGCCTGTTTTGTCCAGTTGCTGAACAATGTCACAAAGGGTAATGTTCCACCCTCCTCTTATTCCCTTAGGTTGGCTCCTCTCCTGGTTTCAAGAGGGCCACTGCCATTTCAAGTGTCTCATGTAGATGGCCATGTTCAGAGGTAGAAAAGGAGGGGCCTTGTTATATATCTTTTTTACAGTGAGGAAAACTTCCCCAGAAGAATCCAGCAAATTCCCCTCAAATCTCCTTTCCCAGGATTATGAGATGAATGCTCTTGACCATGGATGGGCTCTGATTCCACGAACTGCCCCTACTGCCAACACCAAGTTGTGTGAGTCAGAAATAGCAGCACATATAAAAGAATAGAACAGGAGATGCCTCCCTCTGAGCACAAGCAATCAGTTGAGAATTATGAGGGGTGTTCTAAAAGGCTGAGGTGGGAGGTAGCTGGCTTCCCTGGGACCTGGGGAAATAAATCAAGGCACCTTCTCCCTTCCCACAGCCTATCAGCCTTGCCCACAGAAGTCAAACCAGATGAACAAGTCCTCTAATCTTAAACATCAGCGCAAGGAAATACTAGGCACCCAGAACACAAGTGAGGACCATACCCATACAATTTCCACCTTCACCACCTCCCACACCCAAGGCTCTTCATATAACCACCAGTCCACAACTCAAGAGGAGCCCATTGCTGGGGAAAAAGAACTTTCCCAAAGCCTTTGGAGAGGTACTTCTGAGTACTCTGATCCCTGCCCACCACAAAGGCCCAAGGGATGCCGGCCTCTGTCAAGTCCTTCTCACAGGGCAGGAGCTGTGACAGTTAAAATCAGTACCCCACAAGCGTGCAAGACAAAGGTATACAAGCAAGTGACCTTGGAGGTTGTGATGGGACAAGATGAGCCACTCATCTGTCCCTTTGAGGAAACTCTGGTTGCCCCAGCTGCTGGAGTATCATCAGCAGACAGTTTTCAGGTATCAGTCCCTTTGGGGTGTGCCTCGGCTTCTGAGAGTCACCTGAACCAAGATCATGCCCTTGATGGATCGAGGTGGGAGTATAAAACCATTGGATAGCTGGGATCTACCACATTCTGATTCCAAAATTACAGTCTATTTATTATACCATGTCTGTTCTTTCATAATACCCTAACTTTAATTATTCTAGCTTTAAGATAAGTTAATATTTCTGGCAATGCAAGTCTCACTATTACTCTTTTTCAAAAGTTTATTGGTTATCCTTACTTATTTAGTCTCAGTTCTCATTGGGGCCGCATGAAACATGTCACTTAAATTTACGAAGAACAACAGTGTGGTATTCCTCCAGGCTCTGTATTTATTCTGTGTCTCACAGTAAAAATCTTGTGGCTATAAATTCTTCAAGAAACTAAAGAACTAAAGAATTCCATCATTAGACTAATGCACACCATAATGCAAAGATACTCAATGCATTTGAAATTGGATGGGCTGGCATCCTGCTCCTTAAGTCATGGCCAAATACAATCATGCCCTTCCCATTTTTTTCAGGTTGAAGTGGTTCTGAGATGGTCTTGGCCCACTGTCTCTCAGCATAGTGGCTAAAACCAAAAACTAAGCTGCAGAAAACTCTGACGATTGATATGAGCTATGCAAGGCAGTCAACTCACTAGACATGAAGGCAAAAATCAACTCTGGCTTAAATAGTAGGGAATGAAGCTAGGAAATAGCTGGGCTGATGATACCATTCATTCCCTTTTCTCTACTATTCCACTGAAAACCACACAACCACAACTGTGGTTTTACAGAAAGCAAATATTATTCATAACCATAGAACTATATAACAATGAATGCCCTTGCTGCCTCAAGCCACTCCATCACCTCCAAGCATGGGTGCCCACTCCTAGTCACACTGCTGATCTGCACTCAGAGATCCTGAAGTAGTCCCAGGTCAAGTCTGGAATTGACAGAAAAGGAATGGCACCCATAAGTCTCAAGATGCTGGTAAAACACCTCTCAATATTAAAACCAAGACATTTTTAGGTTCAAACCTAAAAAAGTCAGGAACACATTCCAAATAGCCTGCTCTTTAACACACTTCTGGTCTGGCCATCATTCTTTTCATTTTGCTCAACAAATCGATCTCTTAAATGTAAGTCTTTCTCCAAGAATAATTTTATAGGTCTTAGAAAGATTTTTAATTTCCCTCCCAGTTCCTGAGGATATTAGGTCTGAGAATGCTAGAAAAGAGGTCTAATCTACATAAACTCATGCATTATTTACAACTTTTTTATTAATGAAAACCAACAATAATATATTAATTTATTTGTCTCTCCATCTGCTCCAAATAAACAATCTGTTCCCCTAAATTTTGGATGTTATCCGTTAGGAAAGTTTGTTACATTTACCCTTCACCATCTTTTCCATATTTTAAGCTTCATCATTTAAGATTCAAACGGTGTCACCACCTCTGTGGACTGACTTTTCACGATTCCCATTTGCTCCAAGGTTAAGCTACTTACTCTCTTGGCTGCATTCCTAGAGAAAAAGCTTCCATAACCCTATTAAATACTTACCATACTATATTATTCA